CTGATAAACTTCTCCTATTGGCAAGAACAGCGCTAATCCCAGGAGATTTCCTTAGTTACAATAAGAGTTTAAGGCAAGCTGTTCCCTTGCCACCTGTTGGCTGGATTATAATTTGTTTTTTTTCTTGTGGTGTTTTGTTTTGGTTTTTATTTGTGGTTTTTGCTTTTTAATCTGGAAGATGATCTGTCAGAGGAAAAACAATGCAAACATTGTTGTCTGGGTTCCAGCGTGAAATTTGGAGTGGTTTTACCTGTTCCGGGTGCCAGAAGCAATGGGATTCCTGCAATAAAGAAGGAATTTAGGCTATCAAAGGCTCACCTGCCAAGGGAAGGCTCGGCTTTAAATATTATCTTGGGGCAATGGGGAGTCCTGGAGTGCAGTCCTTGCTCAACCAGTGATGCCAAAACAGATTTTTTTGGGGAATTTTTCCGTCTGTGAACCAGACACGCATTGAGTTCAGCTTCCCAGGTGCTATAATGTGGTTTTTCTGGGAAGGAGGGTGGAGGGGATGGTTTGACCCAGGAGGGCACAGCCTCCCTTCTGTGGCACAGCCTGATCTGTGCCAGCCACCAGAGCCCTGGGGCCAGCAGGGAGCTGGCCTGGCTCACTCAGCCAAGTGACAGCTCCCAGGCGGTGACAAAACGAGCCCCAGGCCTCTGGTGGGGGAAAAGCAGAGTGGAGCTGCAGGAGGAGAGCCAGGAGTTATTTAAATTAAAAGCACACACAGAGCTGATGTTGCTGCGTCCCCACGCAAAGAAAATCAGCCCAGATCACTCTGAAAAAGGAATTGTTGTGAAATCCATGCAGAGCTTGTAGTCATGGTTTGTTCTGCTGCCTGGAAGTGTTTTTTGGATCAATCCAGGAGCAAGAACGGGGAGCAGCGCCCTTCTTTGGGTGTCTGAGCCATTCTGGGCACACGGGGTGGAGATGATGCTCTCACTGAGCTTTTGGCTTTGCAGCACAAAGGTCTCAGTGCTCCCCAGGGCTGGGATGCCCCCGGCTCTGCTGGTCCTGGGGTGTTTCCTGGGAGCTCAGGCTGAGGCTGAAACCCCTGAATCCTTCCCTCCTGAAGCCACCAGTGCTCATCAAACACAAACTCTGCCTTTGTTCTGTCCCCAGTGGGGTCCCTCAGCCCTGCTGCTCCTGGTTTGCTTCTCCCCTTTCTGAAGTTTTCATTCTTTTGTCATTTTTGGGCAGCTGAACCCGAGGTCTCCTGCAAAAACCTTTCTGGTGTCTGTCTGTGCTGCACAGAGCAGGTGCCAAGTGCCCCAAGAGCTCAAGTTTTATATAAAAACTTCTTTTAGAGATCCAGGGAGGTGTCCAAAGCTCACAGCCCCCTTCAGGGACTTCCACCCAGCCTCAGTTCTGTGTTTGATAAGAAAAAAGGGAAAAGTTTCACTTCTGTGGTTGAAGGTGAATCTGCAAGGGGACTTTTCTGACTGGAATGGCTTTGTGGATATTTTTTGTTGTTTTTTCCCCCCTGTGCCTGACTTCTCAGGACCCCCAGAACTTCATCCCCCTCCCACCAACAGCACATGAAAGCAGCGGCTGATTCTCCATGTCAGCCTTTCAGAAAGAAGTTTTATCCCTTTTTATTTCCCAGAGAACAGATGGAAACGAGTCACTACAGCAAACAGCCAGCACAGGGAGAGGGGGGCACGATCCTGGCTGAGGGCAGAGGGCTGGAGGTCAGCAGAGGGGAACTGGGTGGAAAATACCTCTCGAAACGCTGGGCTCATCCTTATCCTCGAGTCAGAGCTGCTGGGAGAGCCCCTCGCAGACACAGCAACGAGAGAAGGGCCAAAAACCTCGCCCACAGCAGTGCCACAGCGAGTGACAGCTGGGGACAACCCTGGGGCAGGGCCAGGCTGCAGGACAGGGATCATGGCCCTGGGGCAGGGCCAGGCTGCAGGACAGGGATCATGGCCCTGGGGGATCCTGGGGACAGGGGGGTGCAGGAATGTGGGGGACTGGGAGGGCTGTGGGGTGTCAGAGCAGGGAACAGCGCGGGCACAAATCCTGGTGACAAAAGCATCCTGTCCCCCGGCTGAATTCCTGAGTGCCAGCCACGCCTGGCAGTCCCGTCCTGGAGCAGGAGGAGAGCGCAGGGATGCTGCCCTTGCCAGGAATGGCAGTGCTGGGAAGCTTGGAAGCCTCCAAAGCACAAGGAAAAATGGTTGAGGAGCACTGTGGAGGTGTTGGACACTTTGTGTGGCCCTGGGCCCGGCAGGAGGAGCTGCCTGTGCAAGGTGGAAGTGTAAATGTGGTTTCAGCTGGGATCTGGCCCTGCTGCACCCGGGATTCTGTGGCCACTCCCACGGAATTCCCATCCCCATCCCCCTGGAATTCCAATCCCCCTGGAATTCCCTTCCCAATCCCCCTGGAATTCCCATCCCCCTGGAATTCCCATCCCCATGCCCCTGGAATTCCCATCCCCCTCGAATTCCCATCCCCATCCCCCTGGAATTCCCATCCCCCTGGAATTCCCATCCCCCTGGAATTTCCATCCCCCTGGAATTCCCATCCCCCTGGAATTCCCATCCCCGTGCCCGCGGGGCTGTGCCAGCCCAGGTGGATCCCGGCCCTGGTTCCTGGGGCAGCTCCTGCCACGTCCCCCGCGGCTCCAAAATCGATCGGTGGCCGCTCCCCGCTGCTGTTCGTGCTGGGGCTGGAGATCAATGCAGCTCGCTTGGCTGGGGACGCGAGGGGAAGGAATTTAGGAGAGGCAAAAGCGCCCGGGTGATGCTCGGCTTAGCTCGTTGCTACGCGACCCCGTGCGGTAACCATGGCAACGCCCGGTACAGCCCTTTTCTGGGACAGAAATCGGGAATTGGGATCCTGGAGGCTTCTCACATCGCCCTGAGCGCGGGCTCAGCAGCCCAAGTGTGTCCCAGTATCCCCAGGGTTTGCTTTTGCAGCTACAACTGGGTTGGTTTTGTTTTGCAGTTATTCCTTAAAATAAAAAAAAAAAATAAAAAATAAAAAAAAAAAAAAAGTGGAATTTTCCTGATTGTCAGCCTTTGGATGAGGAAACCCTGGCCAGAAGAGCAATAAAACTGCAGGGGAGCTGAGCAGGCAGTGCTCACACGAGCCGTGTTGTCCTGCAAGCAAAGCAGCAGATTTGTTCTGGGCTTCTTTCCTGGTGGAGAGAAGGGAATCGTGTCCTTGTTCCTGCAGGGTCAAAGCCATTGGAACAGCCACAAAGAAACACTCCCTGCTCGGAGAGCACCAGCTCCTGATTGCTTCTCCCGGGGAACGGCCCCATGAGCAGGGAAAAGTGGGAAACGGGGG